GGCGAGTTATGTTGTTTGGTTATTACAGAGTTAGTGTATAAAAATGTTGTACAGTTTTCTCTCCTGTGTTTGCTTTGTAGAGAGATCTCTGTTTATAGGCTATGGATTTGCTTAAAACCCTCCAGCTGACTCAGCGGGTTACGTACTCTCAGAAATCAATAAACTTCCCCCCCCCTTTTTTATTAAAAACAAATTAATAAAATATAGTAATAATATATAACAATGCAATTTAGAAATTTCTCAAATTTTATTTAGCTTTTCTTGGGAGCAAGTTTCGATTTGATCTTTTCGATTTCCTTCGTTCCGATCTGAAACGACGTCGTTAAAACGTGATCTGGAACCGTCGGAGCCGCCGTGAAAAGCGTGGCGGCGATCGATTGTGTTCCCGGTAACTGACTGTTAAACGCCGAGATCACCGACGCCGGTTTCGCTTTGTCTTTGTTCTTCTGGTAATGAATCAATCCTCTCGGGAAAACGAAAACTTCTCCTTTCTTCACCGTCTTAGCGAAATGTTTGTTCGCCGTTGTGACGAATCCGACGTCGAGCTCGCCTTCCAAAACGAAGATCACTTCGGTGGCGCGTGGGTGCGTGTGCGGCGGGTTTAAACCTCCAGGCGCGTAATCAATACGCGCGAGTGAGACGCCGAGCGTGTTAAGCCCTGCGATCTTCTCAACGTTTGCTCCGGTGACGACGGATCCGACTGTGTTGTTAACGACGGCGGTTTTTCCGAGTCCGGCGAAGAAGAAATCTGAGGCGGTTATGTTTGATTCCGGTTTACATGTAAACCCGTTCACTTTTACCCCTACATAAATCACATAACCATATCTTAATTTCTTCGTATGTTATTCACAACAATAACAAAAATAAACAGAGTTTAATTTTATTATAAACATACCTGAATTGCGATTTGCAACGCATAGATCTTGAAGAGTGTCGGGATCGTAAGCAAGAGCAATCACAGTGAGAGAGAACAGAGCAAAGAAGAAGCCATAACATCTCGAGTCCATGATTTTGATGATGATGTTACTGTAGAATAGAAAGTAAACCAGAGATGATATAAATAAAGAAGATCCTGAGATTTGCAACTGTGATGATCTTTATGTGTCGATTGGATCGTGTTATATAATAATTTTTTTGAATTTGTTGAGGAAAATTATGTGAAAGCTAAACTAACTTAAACGCAAAGCAAAATTGGAGGGAGAGAGATGTGATGTCGTTTTCTTACAGATGTTATGTATATTCATTAATTAACTTTTAAGTTTTGGTTTTCGTTCTCTCTAATTATAAGTTTAAACCGGATTGTATTCGCGTTGCGTGAATTTAAAAATTAACATAATAAAATATGCAATAGTTTTTATTTTATTGATTATTTGTGAATTTAATATTAAAGTCATTTAGTGTTTATAGTAAATAATTATTTAGGTTCGAAGACTAAACATTTGTATCAAATTATTGATACAATGTTACATGTAAGAATATTTTTCATTGATATAAATTTGTATATGAATTGACATAAACCTGTAGAAGACATATATTATGTGAGATAATACAAATGTAAAATAAAGTTAAAAAATATGTTTGGTCTTTTTTCTTACATCAAATACGTTCGTAAAAAAATTTATTAGTATGCATCATCTCAACAGAAATGTTGAAATGCGTCTCTATGTTTATTTCGTTAGAACTTTGAATTGTAAAAAAAGAATATTTGTTGCTTGATTGTATTCTTGTTTTTCTTTTTGCTGTGATTTATATCTTTCACATCAATTCATTGGTGAAGTGAATTTTGTTTTTGTCATCATGATTACGGTATGGAAGGAATAATAAAAATTAAAAGAGTTTTTCTCAATTCACAAAAGTTTTAATTGCACTAATTTGTTATTAAATTTAGAGAAAAAACTTTATAATGAGATTTTTAATATAGTATATTATTGGGTTCAATAAATAATATATCTATTTTCCAAACCATTAAAATTTTATAATAAATTATAATTTTTTTTCAATTAAAAGAAAAAAAGAAGACAATATCTAATATATATTATAACTTGTTGTTGGAATAATCATATTTTAACATTAGAATTAACTATTAAATTGTTAGAATTAATTGTCAAAGTTAAGTTATTAGAGAGAAAAAAACTTATCATTTTTTTTGAATAAATTAATTAAAAAAACACATAACAAAATAATAGGTGACACATGACAACCTCTCGTAACTTCAACTAAAAAAACCTTACTATATTATATAAAATTAACTATTAAATTGCTAGAATTAATTGTCAAAGTTATTAGAAAGAGAAAAAAACTTATCATTTTTATTTTTTTCTTGACTAAATTAATTAAAAAAATATATAACAAAAAAATAGGTGACACATGGCAATCTCTCGTAACTTCAACTAAAAAAAACTTTATTATATAAAGATTAATAAAAAGGATATAATTTCCATTCTATGGGCTGGGCCTAGTTAAATTTGTAATTATTGCGGCGTAAATTGGCGTGAGATGTTAACGATACCTATCGTTTATTAGGTCAAAACTAGATCTCATTTGTTCCTTAGCCGCATATCAAACATTTATCTCTCGTCTCTCCTCTCTACTGTTTATTTTCTTCTTCCATTCAGGTTGTTAGGCTTTAACACGAAGATGGTGGCTGATTAGACTACTCAACCCAAAAACTGGATGTTTTTTGGGATTTTGAGAAATGTCAAATGACAATTCTCAAAATCCCAGATTTTTCGATTCGTTAGTCCGGTTAGCCATCTTTCATCTACAACGGCTTTGTCACACGTTCCCTGTTCGGTAAGTAATCTGATTTAGGCATTTATAGTTTAACCAATCGATGGTTGGTTCGGATTTTGGTTTGAATTTTTTTTTGCTTTCTTTGTGGATTTTGGAGTAATGAAAAAGTATTGGTTTCTGTTCAAATTCGTTATTTAAACAAATGTATATTTTCAAAATCTAATACGTATAGAAGTTTCATTTAGAGTATTATTCGTTAATTTGTAGTTTGAGTTTAAAATTCATCAATTCATTTTCCTTCTCAAGTAATTGTGCTCTCCAACTTCAAATTGGTTACGATTATTATTAGCAAAAGTACATATCTCATTTCCAGTTGGAATTTTCTGATTCGAACTTGTCTTTGATTTTTCGTTATAGGCCCATTGACAATAATATAGGCCCATTTATTCCATCTAAAATGGCCCAAAGTCATGCTTTTTTACTAATTTACCCACACTTCGTTATGTAAACCCCTTAGCAAGGGGTAGAATCGAGATTCAGTCAAACCACCAGTTATTTTGGTCAGAGAACAAACCCTAAAATTTTTCAGCTCTAAGATTTTACTCACCAAACAAAAATATCTGCTTTATGCTCTCTAACAATCCGGCAACAACCATGTCTGATGTTTTCCCTGGAAATTTCGCCGGTAAAATCTCTAACTCTCAGTCTCCATTACACTCTGTTTTGTTTTGTCTCTTTTCATATCTGCTTAAGTCCGGATTAGTTTCTCTGTATGTGTAGATCTGATTCATTTTTGTAACTCAAAGTCGCTTCATTTCATAGTTAAGACTGCTCATGACATACATTATTCAACCATTTGCTCTTAGCCATGATGGGTTACTACTACATGTTAATGGGTAGCTGAGAAAAGGAGTAGCTTTTTTATGTGTGTTAATCTGATTAAGTATTCATTCACAAGCTTGGATTTTTCATAAGAAAACTAGTAAATGAGTGGGGTTTGAGTTGTTTTTCGTTTTATGTGAAAAAATCTTGCAGCGGCTGAGGTTGGTGTGTTCTTTGACATTGAGGATTGTAAGATTCCCGGATCATCTCAATGCTGGTTTTGTTTTGGAGAAAATCAGGTCGAGCCTTGTGAGTTTAGGTCATCGCGGTACTGTKTCGATCACTGCTTATGGTCAAGCTCAATCATTTTCCAGCAGGTGAATTACTCTTATGAAGTAAACTCTCTTTTTCTCTTTTAGTTATTTATGTATGTATCTTGATCTTAATCTGCCTTGTTTCAGGAGGAGACAGATCCGCGAGACATAGCAAGATTTTAGAAGATATTGTTTCCTGGTCAGCTGAACATCCTGAACCACCTACTTTGTTGCTTGTCATGGGAGAGCCGACGTGTCAGATGACTTTACCGAGGTTATTCAACTGTTGAAATCGAGGAAAAATTACCGGTTTCTTTTTATTTACGAACGCCCTTGAAATGGCTTTGGAGATGCCAGGACTAGCTGAGCTTAGTTGGTAGTATAACTATGATGATTAGTAGGAAACTAATCTCCTGGAAGTAGAAGTAGAATAAAATGTTGAGACAAAAAGAGTAGTGTTTTTATTATATTGTTAGCTTGGATTAAGCTCAAGTACTGGAGCTCTCTTATGGTTTTTTGCATCTTAAAAGATTGGTTTCGATTACAAGAAGGATTTGATCTCATTTGCGTATTTTCCGAATTGGTATCATTTTTTCAATCTCTACTTCTCTTGGACTTTTTCGCTTTAGGCCCATTTACTCCACCTAAAATGGCCCAAGTCATTCTCTTCATGAATTGACTAAGGAAGTTACTAATTTACCCAGAGCTGCGTCGTCGTGTATGTGTACGGAATCAAGGGTAAAATCGAATTTTAGCATGAACCAAACCCTTAAATTTATCTCATCTAGATCCAAAACCTTTTAAGCTTTGCTCACCAAATCAAAACAGTCACTTTATCCTCTCGAACATTCCGGCGAAAAATCATGTCTGCTTTCACCGGAAATTACGCCGGTAAAGATCTTTCTTTCTCTGTCTCCATTAGATCTGTTTTGTTTTTTGTCTTTTCTCATTTCATAACTGTCTATACTTGGAATTTTTCACCTCATCGAGCTTGATAAAGCACATTTCGAGGGTCTTACAACTACACTTGATTCGAATCAGTATGTTTCAGTGTATAGATCTGAAAAATTTCGGTCTTTTTTTGTTGTTGTCTTCCTCTATTTTAGCGGCTGAGATTGGCATCTTCTGGGACCTTGAAGATTGCAAGATTGGTAACGTAAGTGCTAGTGAGACATTACAAAACATTAAATTGACAATTTCAAGAGCTGGTCACCATGGTACTGTCTCAATCAGAGCATACGGTGATATGTCCGGTCTTGAATTTCCTTCCGATGGAATCAAGCTTAATCATTTTCCCGCAGGTGAAAAATTACACTTAAAAAGCTTGTCTTTTTGCTACTTATTTGTGTAATAAAATCTTGATCTGGTTGTTTTGCTAAGGAGAGAGATACGCGAGACACACGAAGATCTTGGAGGACATAGTTTCGTGGTCTGGTGAACATCCTGAGCCTTCGAATCTGATGTTAATCATGAAAGACAACATTTCAGATGACCTCATCGAGATTGTTGAACTTTTGAAATCAAGGAAAAAATACATGTTTCACTTGGTTAATTAGAGTGAGCAGAGCCTTAGTTAGTAAGTAACGAGGATTAGGGAGGCTAATGACATTGCCACTAGTAGGAAACTAATTAATGTAATGGAAGTAGAAGAGCTATTCTGAAAATAAAGTAGTGTTGTTATGTTGGATTTTCGCTCCAAATTAACAATCTCGTCTAGTAATTCCTTTGTTGATTGATCCTAAGTATTTATCGTTTGTTTTGTCTCACTAACGTCGCGAGATGCAGAAGAAAATGATTAGATGCTTAATTAAATCCTCCAGTATAACAATTTCTTTTAGTGAGTGATGATGCATTATTGATAAAAAAAGTTTCACATGTTAATAATCAACATGTCAAAAAAGTTTTACTCGGAAAGAGACTAATGCATCTAAATATAAGGAAGAGAACATCTTGTTGGGCTGGGCCTGGTAGGTATCCAATAGGCCCAGCTTTTAAATTACAGCGGCGTAAGTTAGCGTTATATGTTAAGGATACCAATCAATATTAGGTTAAAGCAGATCTCCATTATTCTCTAAAAGAAATAGCCGCCTCACAATCTAATTCTCTCTCTCGGTCTCTCAGGCTAAAGACGATGGTGGTTATGTTGTGTAACGGCAAAACGACCGTTTGTTGGGGCTTCGAGAATTGTTGGAACTCAACAGGTTTTGACAATTCTCCAAGTCCCACCAAACGGCAGTTTTCACTGTTACTTATCCCGGTTCAGCCATATAACCTCTCACTCCGGTCAAAGAAAGGTAATCAGAATCTTAGACACAATATATATGGAATTATAATTGGGTTTATACATTTACAATTGAACCTATGGATCTTTGATTCTGATTTTGGTTCTTATATGTTTGGAGTGGGATTTTAATGTTTTTTTGTTTTCATGTATTTTCAACTTATAATCAAAACAAACAGTATAGAAATTCGGTTTTAAAAACAATTTTATATATAGGAATTGATCTCTTCCAAGTAGTTGAATTCTCTTATTTGTTACTGCAACTTAAGAATCTCATTTGCGTTTGTTTCTGATTCGAATACATCTATTTCGACTTTTACGTTGTTGTTATCCATGTATTTCTTAACAAGGCCCATTTATAATAAAATAAGCCCATTTACTCCACCTGAAATGGCCCAGTGTCATGCTTTTCACTGGATTGAGAACCAAGTTACTATACTACCCACAGTTACTTCGTTGTTTATGCACGTTTAGCTAGGGGTAGAATCGAGATTTATTAAAAACCCTTAGCCAGAGAACAAAACCACAACTTTCTCAGGGCAAAGATCAAAAACCCAACGTAGATTCACTCACAAAGCCAAAAACAGTCGCTTTATCCTCTCTACCAATCCAGCAGAAACCATGGATGCTTTCCCCGGGATTTACGCCGGTGAAA